AAAGAATATTTTTTTAAGGTCTATAAGAGGCGTGGATTTTTTAAAGAATATTTTTTCAGGGACTATAAGAGGCGTGGATTTTTTAAAGAATATTTTTTCGGGGACTATAAAAGGCGTGGATTTTTTTAAAGAATATTTTTTCAGGGACTATAAGAGGCGTGGATTTTTTAAAGAATATTTTTTAAAGGTCAATTAGAGGCAAGGATTTTTTAAAGAATATTTTTTCAAGGTCAATTAGAGGCAAGGATTTTTTAAAGAATATTTTTTCAAGGACCATAAAAGGCGTGGATTTTTTAAAGAATATTTTTTCAAGGTCAATTAGAGGCATGGATTTTTTAAAGAATATTTTTTCAAGGACCATAAAAGGCGTGGATTTTTTAAAGAATATTTTTTCAAGGACTATAAAAGGCGTGGATTTTTTTAAGGAATATTTTTTCAATTATTTAATTTAAAAAGAAAAAATCGGATACATTTCTATGAGTTCCTCAACACAAAGCTAGCAAACAAAACGTGTCTAACAGATGTTGATATTCATTTTTTGTGAGATGTTGTTTTGCTACTTTTTAAGCGACCAACAGCAACAACTATTGTCGCTCCGTCCACTTCCAATTCCAAAAATTATGTTTTTTTTTTTTTTGTTACATCAAACTTCGTTGAACTCAAATTGTGGCTCATTGTTTATTTATTTGCTTTTATGATTTCGGTTGCAATTGTTTGGCCAAAGAAAAAAAATGTTGCTGTTGTTGTTGTAGATTTGTGTTTGTTTGTTTTTGTTGTTGTGTTGTCAGAACACTTGACAACAACAGCAATAGAAATACAAATCGTTGCCACTTTTGAAGTGGTTGATGTTGTTCGAATTATGTTTTGTTTTTTGGTGTTGCTGTTGTTGTTGTTTACTCAAACTCCTGCCGAAGCCAAAAAACAATTAGTTTTAAATGCACTCCAGAGACTTGTTGTTAGAGCTGACCTTAAGGGAAGAATACAAATGGACTTTTACTTTACTTCCCTTCAGCTCGCCCGGTCATAGCTGTCAGCCACACAAAACGCAAGAATGATTTTTTTTTTATTTCTTTCATTCTATTTCTCTTGTTTTCATTTTGTTTTATTTGATGTTCATTCTATTTATTTATTTATTTTTTTTTTTTTTTTTTTGGTTTTTACGCTCGTTTTAGTTAGTCAATATTTTTTTTTGTTTTTTTTTTTTTTTTTTTAATCCAGATCTTATTTTGTATTCCTGAGAGGTGAGCGGACATAATTTTGAAGGGGGCCAAAGTTTTGGCGAGATGATATAATGAACCCATAATGAGTCGATGAACGTTTAAGGAGCTTCTGAAGAGGATAAGGGAAAAACTGTTGATCCCAGAGGTAATTGGTAGGTAGTAGTGACAAGTGTGAGCTGGGTAACTATTAGCGCCAAGGGGGAGGGTAAAATATGAGCAAGTGAACCATAGAAACGCTTATAGACTAGTTAACCACAATTGCTTAACTATTAAACTAGCTATGAAATAGTGAACCGTAGGTGCACTAATAATGGGCCAGGAAATGCTTAGGGGGCAGGGAAGCCACGTCCGAATTGGTCAATTTTTTTGAGCTCGAAAATCCTCAAAAATTCTAGGTGTCAATTAGTTGGCCCGAAAAATTCTAAGACGAAAAATTCCCATGGAAATCTCAACTGAGATGGGATAGAAGATTTCCTAGGGAAAAAATGGGAAATGTCAAACAACTGGGTTGAATTCAGGATTTCTCAACGGAACCTTAGCTTAACTGAGCGGAATTGAAGATATACTATCAGATTTTGTTTCAGCAAAGCAGAATTGAGGATTCTTGGTAGAAAGTTAGTTCGATTGGACCGAATTGAAGGTTTACGCAAAATTTAGCCAGCTTGGCTAAGTCCAAGATTTTCCAGCTGAGTTGGAGATTGAAAAATTCCAGAGGGATCGATGATTTTCCAGGGAAAACCAGGCTGAATTGAATATTTCGAAGGGAAAACTTTATTCCGTTGGGATAAATTGACGTATTTTTTCGGAAGCCTAAGTTTAGGTGGAACAAGCAGTATGTGTCATAGGAGGTCAGCAGGAATTTTATGTGCCATGAAAGCATAACAGGACTTCCAGGTGTCATGGAAGACACTCAGGTCTTGAAAGTGACACAGAAGACCTGTTCGAATGTGAGAGAAGACCAACAGGCCTTCTAGGTGCCATAGACGACCCTTAGAACTTTTAGATGACATAGAAGACCCTCAGGTCTTCTAGATGTCAAAGAAGATCCTCAGTTTGTTAAGGTGTCACAGAGGAGCCTCAGGTTTTCTAGGTATTATAGAAGTATCTCAAGTCTTCTAGGTGCCATAGAAGGCCCTGAGGCCTTTTAGTTGCTAAGGAAGACTCAATGGCACCTAGAAGAACATAGAATAACCTCAGGCCTTTTAGATCCCAAAGAAGATCCTTAGGATTTTTTAGGTGCCAAAGCAAACTCTTAGTTTTTTTAGGTGCCATAGAGAAGCCTAAGGTCTTCTAGATGCCATAGAAGTATCTCAAGTCCTTCAAAAAAGACTTTCAGGTCCTCTAGTTGCCACGAATGATCCTCAGGTATATTAGGTACAATATTAGACTCTCAGACTCTCTCAAGTATAAATAGGTCTCAGGTTTTCCAGATGTCAAAGAAGATCCTTAAGCCTACTGGGTGCTTTTTGGTTTCATAGATTTATTCTAGGCGGCCCTAGAAGACCTCCAGCACTTCTAGGTGACCCTAAAAGACCTCCAGCTGTTCGAAGTGGCCGTTAAAGACCTCCAGCTCTTCTAGGTGGCCTAAAATACCTCCAGCTTTTCTAGGCGGCCCTAGAAGAAGACCATGAGCTCTTCTAGGCCACGCTAAAAGACCTCTAGCTCTTCTAGGCGGCCCTAGAAGGACTTGAACTCTTCTAGGCGGCCCTAGAAGAACTTAAACTCTTCTAGGTAGCCCTAGTACACCTCCAGCTCTTCTAGGCGGCCCTAGAAGGCCATGATCTCTTCTAGGCAGCCCAAGAAGACCAAGGAGCTCTTCTAGGCAGCCCTAGAAGACCAAGGAGCTCTTCTAGACGTCTCTAGAAGACCAAGGAGCTCTTCTAGACGTCTCTAGAAGACCATGAGCTCTTCTAGGCGGCCCTAGAAGACCATGAGCTCTTCTAGGCGGCCCTAGAAGACCTTGAGCTCTTCTAGGCGGCCCTAGAAGACCATGAGCTCTTCTAGGCGGCCCTAGAAGGCCATGAGCTCTTCTAGGCGGCGCTAGAAAACCATGAGCTCTGCTGGGCCGCCCTAGAAGACCATGAGATCTTCTAGGCAGCCCTAGAAGACCAAGGAGCTCTTCTAGGCAGCCCTAGAAGACCAAGGAGCTCTTCTAGGCAGCCCTAGAAGACCTTGAGCTCTTCTAGGCAGCCCTAGAAGACCTTGAGCTCTTCTAGGCAGCCCTAGAAGACCTTGAGCTCTTCTAGGCAGCCCTAGAAGACCTTGAGCTCTTCTAGGCAGCCCTAGAAGACCTTGAGCTCTTCTAGGCAGCCCTAGAAGACCTTGAGCTCTTCTAGGCAGCCCTAGAAGACCTTGAGCTCTTCTAGGCGGCCCTAGAAGACCTTGAGCTCTACTAGGCGGGGCCCTAGAAGACCATGAGCTCTTCTAGGCGGCCCTAGAAGACCTTCATCTCTTTTTAGCGAGAATCGTTATTCTACTGGTTGGAATTTAAGATTTCCCATTGGAAAATTTAAATCATCTGCCCTGCGACCAATCTATTTTCCCTTGGCAAAAATAATTTTTAAGTGCGGCTCATAATTATTGTTTACCAACCGAGTTGAGGAATTCCATTTGATGGTTTCGCCCATCTCCCGTCCATGTTGCTGGCAACGGATGCAGCAGAGATGCTGCTCATGGTGGCCGGCGAAGTGGTAGTTGTGACAAGCCAGCCAATGTCAGTGTAACTCAGCCAGTGGGTGCTGCTGGGTGTGAGCTGTCTTGTTCATCAGCATGTCAGCTCTTGCTGTTCGGGAAACGGAAGCTTATCCATCAAATATTTGCATTTGTTAAGTTAATGCCTTAAGGCTCTGTTTGTTGAGTTATTAAGGGTGAAATTAAGGAAATTGCACAAAAAAAAAAAACAAAAAAAAAAGAAACTGAAAAACCAAAGCCAAAGAGAAGGAAACGATGAAGGAGAAGCTAAACAGAAAAAAAATATTTTGAATTCTGGGAAACTGTTTTAGAAAGCAGAGTTATGGCAATGAAGAGATGGGATGTCAAAGAGGAAGAATAAGGAAGTTGTGAAGGATTTCACGGAGAGGGAGAGGGGAAGGGGGAGAGATTTTTTGAAATGGAATTGTATCCTGTAGATTTTTTTGGAACAATGGTCCTCCAAACATCTCGAGTTGAAACTATCCCAATAGAAGCCACCCAAATGGGCTTCCCTAAATTTCCTTCTGGTGTCTTTGTAGCACCAAGGAATCCCCTCTTCAATACTTAAAAATTCCCCTCTCTTCTCAACTATTTCCCGCGAATGAATGTGGTTCCTCGTAAAACATGGGATTAGTAACTCCTCTCTTTTCCAAAGAAGTTATGAAGGATTTCTTGGAGAGGGAGAGAGAGACATCTTAAAATGGATTTGGATCCTGGATTAAGGAGATTTTTTTTCTTGGAACAATGGTCCTCCCTGGTCTCTAGTTGACCAATGATTTCTAAGTTCCATGGGGCTAAAATATCCTAAAAGTAGCCACCCTAATGGGCTCCCAAAATGTTCTTCAAGTGTCCTTGCAGCACCAAGGATTCGCCTCTACCAAAATAGTCAAAAATCTCCCTCACTTCTCAACCATTTCCCTCACTTCTCAACCATAGCTGAGGCTCCTTGTGGGATTAGTAACTCTTTTTTTTTCAGGGAAGTTGTGGAGGATTTCTTGGAGAGGGAGGGATTGAGGATATTTTTTGTTACAACAATGGTCTTTCCTGGTCTCGTGTTGACCAATGATTCCCAATTTCCATAGGGATAAACTATCCTAAAATTTCCTTCAGGTGTCCTTTTACCACCAAGGATTCACCGTTTCCAAAATAGCCCGCAAGTAGCTGTGGCTCCTTGTTAAACATGGGATTAGCGACTCCTCTCATTTCCAAAGAAGTTGTGGAGGATTTCTTTGAGAGGGAGAGAGAGATTTTTTTAAGTGAATTTGTATCCCGGATTAAGCGGATTTTTGGTTGGAACAATGATCCTCCATGGTCTTGAGTTGACCAATGATTTCTAGGTTCCATGGGGCTAAAATATCCTAAAAGTAGCCACCCTAATGGGCTCTCAAAATTTTCTTCATGTGTCCTTGTAGCACCAAGGATTCCCCTCTTCAATACTTAAAAATTCCCCTCTTTTCTCAACTATTTCCCGCAAATGGATGTGGCTCCTCGTAAAACATGGGGTTAGTAACTCCTCTCTTTTCCATGAAGTTATGAAGGATGAAGGAGAGGGAGGGAGAGCATTTTTTAAATGGATTTGTATCCTGGGTTAAGCGGATTTTTTGTTGGAACAATGGTCCTCAATGGTCTTGAGTTGACCAATTATTTCTAGGTTCCATGGGGCTAAAATATCCTAAAAGTAGCCACAAAATTTCCTTCTGGTGTCCTTGTAGCACCAAGGATTCGCCTCTACCAAAATAGTCAAAAATCTCCCAAACTTCTCATCCATTTCCCACGAGTAGCTGTGGCTCCTTGTTAAATGATTTCTATTTCCATGGTGCTAAACTCTCCCGATAGTAGCCACCCCTAGAGGATCTCAAAATTTCCATCAGGTGTCCTTGTAGCAGCAAGGATTCACCTCTCCAATTGCCAAAAATTTCCCTCACTTCTCAAATTTTTCCCACGAAAAAATGTGGCTCCTCGTAAAAAATGGGATTAGTAATTCCTATTTTTCGGGGAAGTTGTGGAGGATTTCTTGGGGAGGAAGAGATAGAGAGACATTTTAAAATGGATTTTTATCCTGGATTCAGGAGGATTTTTTTTTTTTTGGTCTCGAGTTGACCAATAACACCCAATTTCCAATAATCTACCCCAATAGTAGTCGACAGAAGAGGCTCCCAAAATTTCCTTCAGGTATCCTTGTAGCTCCAAGGATTCACCTCTTCCAAAATATTCAAAAATTTCCCTAACTTCTCAACCATTTCCCACGAGTAGCTGTGACTTCTTGTTAAACATGAGATTAAGGACTCCTTTTTTTCCAGGGAAGTTGGGGAGGATTTCTTTGGGAGAGAGAGAGAGATATTTTAAAAATCGATTTGTATCCTGGATTGAGCGAATTTTTGTTGGAACAATGGTCCAACCTGGTCTCGAGTTGACCAATAATTCCCAATTTCCATAGGAGTAATCTAAGCCAATAACAGCCACCTAAATTGTTATCTTGGATTCAGGAGATTTTTTTTGGGAACAGTGGTCCTCCTTAGTCTCGGGTTGACCAAAAATTCTCCGTTTCTGTAGGGGTAATCTTCCCCAATAGTAGCCACCCATGTAGGCTTTCAAAATATCCTTTAGGTATCCTTGTAGGATTCCCCTCTTTAAAAGTCAAAAATCTCCCTCACTTCTCAACAATTTCCCGCGAGTATCTATGACTCCTTGTTAAACATGGGATTAGCGACTCATCTCTTTTTTCCTTTTCTTTTCTCTCCTCTTCTCTTCTTCTCCTTTTTGACATTCCCCAATGTCTGGAAACTTTCAATGCTAGCACAAATCAAAAGTTTGTGGAAAAACATTTCCAAAGAAATTTTCATTTTCATTTATCTGCGATAATCATCAGGACATACCTCCAGATCAAGAGACAAAACCTACGGTAAGAGCAGGCACTTCTTTTTGAAGGAGTTTTTTTTTCGTTCGAACAAAAAAAATTCTACCAAAGGACAATCAGAAAAAAAAGCGCAGAACTAATAAACTTTGACAACAAAAAACCTCACGGAGGACTGCAAAACAATAAAACACCAACAACACGAAATCACCGGCCACAATAACTTTTTTAATTATCCTTCGGAGTCCGCATAATTATGGGCAAACATTTAAAACTAGAAACGAATAGAAAAAGAGACATTTCCAAAAAAAAAAAACACCAGCATCCATCATGTCCTTAAAAAACCAACCATTGAACAGCAACAACTATTAGGCCAGGAACAAATAAAAAAAAACGACGACGGCGCAGAGACATTTGCTCATTTGACTTTGTCTACACGAGGATTACAAGGCTCGACGAACGAACGACAGAAAAAAAACCGGGACACCAAAACTGCTGTTTTAAAAGATTTCAGCCCAATTGTTGTTGTTGTTTTTATTATTGTCATCCTTGTTCCAGGACTGCCTACTACTTCGTTTGCCCACAGACTCATTGAGGACAAGTTACGACTCCAACACAAAAAAGGACGTTGCCATTCTTTTTGCCATATCTTGGTAATGTAAGAGAGGTAATCACCGAATGGAACAAGTTTGAAATTACTTTTGCTGGTAAAGAAGTTGCAACAACAATAAAACAGTTGTAGCAGCTCCAACAACAACAACCAAGCCATAGACACATACCAAAATTGTAAAATGAGCCAACATTTTACAAGTGTTCTTTTTGGGCGATTTTTTTAAGTTCGGTTACGCTACGAAGTGTGTTCTATGGCAATCAAGATAACCAGGTCTTCCATGCCAAACAAGCCATATGTGTCATAGCAGACCAGTAGGTATTTTATGTGCCATAAAGGCCCAAAAGGACTTCCAGGTGTCATGGAAGACAAGTATTAACTAAAAGTAACAACAGGTCCTCCATGTGCCGTAGAAGCCCAAAAGTTCTTTAACATGTCATACAGGACCAACAGGTCTTATATTTGTCTCACAGGACCAATATGTATTTTATATGTCACACAGGACCAACAGGTCCTCTATATGTCATAAAAGCCCAGCAGATCTTCTCCGTGCTCTACAGGACCAACAGGTTTTTTATAAGTCATAAAAGTCGAACAGGTCTTCTATGTGTCAAAGAAATTCAACAGGTCTTCTATGTGTCATAGAACCCCAACTGGTCTTCCAGGTGTCACAGAACACCAACAAGTCAACTCTGATTCATACATGACCAACAGGACTTTTATAAGACATAGAAGCCCAGACGATCTTCTTTGTGCTCTACCAGACCAACAGATCTTCTATATGTCATACAAGATCAACAAGTATGTCATACAAGACCAACAGATCTCCTATATGTCATACAAGACCAATATGAATTTTATAAGTCACAAAAAACCAACAGGTCTTCTTTGTGTTCTGCATGATCAACGGGTATTTTATATGCCATACAGTACAAGCAGATCTTCTATGTGTCGTAGAAAACCAATAAGTCTTCTATATGTCATATAGGACCAACAGGTCTAATTTATGTCAAACAGGACCAATAGTTGTTTTTATACGTCATAGAAGCCTAACAGGCCTTCTCTGTTAGGAGAAAGGACCATCAGGTCTTTTATACTTCATACGGACCAACATGTCTTCTATATGTCATACAAGACTAAGAGGTCCTCCATTTGGAATAAGAATTAAATGTGTCTTGGAGGCCCAACAGATCTTTTATGTGTCATACAAGACAAAGAGGAATTCTATATGTCAAACAGAACTAATATATCTCTTTTATGGCATAGAAGCCCACAAGGTCTTTTCTACAACAGGAATAACAGGTATTTCATATGTCATACAGGACCAACAGGTCTTCTTTATGTCATGCAAGACCAACAGGTCTTCCCTGTGTTCTAAAGGACCAACAGGTATTTTATATGCCATACCGGACCAACAGATCTTCTATGTGTCATAGAAATCCAACAGGTCTTCTATGTGTCATAGAAGACCCTCAGACCTTTCAGATGTCATAGAAGGACACAATGGCACCTGGAAGACCATAAAAGACCGCATAAGCCTTCCAGATACCATCGAAGATCCTCAGACTTGTTGGGTCTTCCATGTGTCATAGAACCCCTCAGGGCTTTTTAGATGTCATAGGAGGACACAATGGCACCTGGAAGACCATAAAAGTCACCCCTTAAGCCTTCTCTAGGGGTGACATCGAAGATCCTCAGATCTTCATGCAACTATAAAAGGCCCTCAGGATGTCTGGGTGCCATAGAAGATACCCCAATTTCTTCTAGGAGCCATGAAAGAATCCCTTCAAGGTGTCATAGAAAATGCTCCTGTTTTCTAGTTGACATAGAAGATCCTCAGGACTTCCAGTTTCCATAGAAGATTCTCGGATACTCCAGGTGCCATAGGAGACCCCCATTTTTTCTAGGGACCATCGAAGAATCTCAAGTCATTTCAAGGTGTCACAGGACCTTCCAGGTGTCATAGAGAACCATCCAGTCTTGTAGGTAACGTAGAAGATCCTCAGGACTTCCAGGTTCCATGGTAGATTCTAGGGTATTCTAGGCGCCTCAGGTCTTCTTGGGGCCATGGAAGATCTTTAGGGGTTCTAGGTGCCATAGAAAGCCCTCAGATCTTTTAGAAGCTATAAAAGACCCACATGTCATCTAAGAACCAAAGACACACCTCTAGCTGTCATAAAATACTTTCAGGTTTTCTAGGAGCCATAAGAGAACTTCAGGTTTTCTAGGAACTACATACGACCCTCTGGCTTTCTGGGTATCATAGAAGACCTTCAAGTCTTGCAGGTGTCACAGGTCATCTAAGAACCAAAGACACACCTATAGCTGCCATAAATTACTTTCAGGTTTTCTAGGAACCATATGCGGGTGTCATAAGAGATCGTGAGTCTTTGTAGGAGTCTTTGAAGACCCTCAAAGACTCTAGATGCCCATGAGTTCTTCTAGGAGACCCTAAAAAAACCTCACTTTTCTAGGAGGCCCAGAAGACTTCTAGCTCTTCTTGGAGTTCCTCGAAGACTTCAAGAGGCCCTAGAAGATTTCTAGCTCTTGGAGGCTTTAGAAGACTTCTAGCTCTTCTTGGAGGCCCTAGAAGACCTCTAGCTCTTCTAGGCGGCTTCTAGAAGACTTCCAGCTCTTCTACGCGACGCTCGAAGGCCTTGAGCTCTTCTACGCGACGCTAGAAGGCCTTGAGCTCTTCTAGGCGACGCTGGAAGACCTTGAGCTCTTTTAGTCGACGTAGAAGACCTCGAGCACCAGCTCTTT